TAATTTCAATCATATTTTCAGTCTCAGTCTCAATTTCAGTCTCCGTCTCAGTCTCAATTTCAGTCTCCGTCTCGGCCTTTGTCTCAAGTTTCTGATTTTTCATCTTTGGTATCAATGGAGGACGCGCAAGAGGGGAATAAAGTGGAGGATAGTAGTTCTCAAGATTTTGGATATGTTTCTTCTTTTAGTTTTATTGAATCTTCTCTTTCTCAGTCTCAGTTTTTAAGTAGTGATGTACAATTAGAAGATTACAGCGGATGTGTTCAAGAGTTAGAAAGAGGAATAAGCAGAGGACTATTGGATGATGATGAATGGGAGACGGTTCAGAATTTAAATCAGGGTTTTGATATTAGACAGCAAGCAGAAGTGTGTGAAGGATGGAAGAAAGGAAATATTCTATGTTTTACAAAGTATAAGCCGGTAGCAAAGAAGGTTCGACCGGTCAATGCAGCAATGCCACAACATCTCAACCCGCCATTACAAAGACCGCCTTTGTCTAGAGATCCTTATAAAACTCCTTTATCAATGAATCCTCCGGACTTTGTAGAAACTAAGAAGACTACGTTGGAGCGGTTGAAGATGTGTAATTTCGGACCAGAAGGCTGGTTGAGTGATGAAGAATTGAAGTTATTATTACATGTGGTAGTTTTACGGGAAGGAGCTATTGTGTATTGTGAAGAAGAGAGAGGAGTTTTGAAGCATTCTTATGGATTTCCTTATGCAATTCCTGTTGTGGATCACGAACCTTGGCAGAAGAGGCCAATTCCTATTCCAGCGGCCATCAAACCTGAATACATTGAATTAGTACGTCAAAGGCTACGGACAGGTTTATATGAGCAATCTACTTCAAGTTATTCAAGTCCAGTATTTTGTGTCAAGAAACAAGACGGGAAGCTTAGAGTTGTGCATGATTTACAAGAATTGAACAAAGTTACTATCAAGGACGCGGGATTGCCTCCGGCGCCAGAAGAGTTTGTAGAATCATTTGCGGGAAGAGCATGTTATGGATTGGGTGATATTATGGGTGGATATGATGAGAGGGAGTTAGCAGATTTTTCAAGACCATTAACCACTTTTGAAACACCTTTAGGGCGCTTACAACTTACTCGACTGCCTCAAGGTGCTACAAACTCAGTAGCAGTTTATCAAGCTCAGATGATGTGGATTCTTCAAGACGAAATTCCACAGAACGTAGGTATCTTCATTGATGACGGCGGAATCAAAGGTCCTGATTCTACTTACGGCGACGCAGTTCTGGATGAGAATCCGGGAATCAGACGTTTCATTTGGGAATATGCAATTACTTTGGAAAGGGTGTTATTCAGGATTGAAGAGGCTGGTTTGAAAGTTTCTGGAAAGTAATTTGCGGTTTGTGTTCCAGCATTGGAGATTGTAGGACACGTAGTTTGTAAAGATGGAAGAACTATATCAAAGAAGAAGAAGACTAAAATTCAAAATTGGCCAGTTCCACAAAATACAACAGAGGTTTTAGGTTTTCTTGGGATGTGTATTTATGTTAGAATGTTTATTAAGGATTTTTCAAAGATTGCAGCGCCTATGCGGAGGTTGACTCGGAAGGATGTAGAGTGGTATTGGACGGAGGAATGTCAGGAAGCGTTGGATACGTTGAAGAAGATTATTGGTGAAGATATAATGTTGAAAGGATTGGAATACGGTGAAGGAGCGGGTAAGATCATTTTAGCGGTAGATTCTAGTCAGATTGCAGCAGGAGGTGTTTTGATGCAGGAGGATAAGCATGAAAAAGTTAGGCCGGTGTTCTATGAATCTTTGGTATTTTCACCGGTGGAATCAAGGTATTCACAACCAAAATTAGAGCTTTGTGGTGTTGCTAGAATTCTGAAGAAATTTCAAAGTAAGCTGTGGGGACAACATTTTGAACTTCAAGTGGACGCCAAATCTTTAATTGAAATGATCAATGGACCTACTTTACCAAATGCGCCTATGACCAGATGGGTTGCGTTCATTCAATTATTTTCTTATGATATTGTTCACAAGTCCGGAAAGAATTTTGGAATGCCTGATGGACTCTCAAGACGGCCAGTTGGAGAAGACTCAACTTCTGAAGGACAGGATTTTGATGAAGAACAGAGAGACATTTCACCACATGAAGGTTTTCCTGTTTCTAATATTGATGAAGATGCGGATGATTTCTCACCTTGGACTCAGGACGGAATATGGATTTTGCTTGAGGAATATTTAAAGAATTTTAATAGACCAGAGAATTGTTCAGATGAAGATTATCAATGGATTCAGAATAGAGCTAGGACCTTTTTTGTGGAACGTGGAAGATTGAAGAGGAGAGGTGTACCTTGTGGAAGGTTAGTAGTTTCAAGAAAGGATGGGCAAGAGATAGTATTACAAAGATTACATGAGGAGATGGGTCATAGAGGTGTAGAAGAAACTTACAGAAGATGTTTGATAAGATTTTGGTGGCCGGAAATGAAAGAAGATGTACGTAAATGGGTTATGTCTTGTGAAGCTTGTCAGCGGCAAAGTCCAAGAACTCAGAAGGAGAAGGGACATGCTACAGGAGAATCTACGGTATTTGGACGAGTTAGTTTGGATGCAGTTCACATCAAGACTAGTAGATATAAATATTTGATTGTAGCACGGGATGATCTTTCCGGATGGGTAGAAGCTAAAGCATTACAAAAATTGACAGCAAAAGCAGTGGCAGATTTTATTTTGAAAGAATGGATATGGAGATATGGAGCAGTGAAATGTTTTACGGTGGATGGCGGGCCAGAATTTAAGGCGGAGTTGAGAGATGCGGTGCGGATGTCAGGATCAAAGTTGGGGGAGTCTACTCCGTATTGGCCTCAAGGTGAAGGAATGGTAGAGCGCGGTCATCAACCTTTGAAGGATACCTTAGTCAAGATGTGCGGTGAAGATGGAAATAAGTGGGTGGAGAAGTTACCTTTAGTTTTATTTGCGGATAGAATTTCAACTAAGCGTACAACTGGATTTTCGCCGTATGAAGTTATGTTTAATCAGAAAGCAATCTTACCAGTAGATGTTGAAGTAGGAACTTTTCTTGGTGTGGATTGGGACACGGTTACTACTAGGGAGGAATTGTTAATGGCAAGAGTGGAGCAATTGGAGCAAAGAGATGAGATGTTGAAGAAAGCATATGAACAGATGATGCGGGCAAGGACGGATGGAGTTATTTATTGGGATGAGAAAAATTCACATAGATTAAGAGGATCATTGGAGGCGGGTGACTTGGTATTAGTTTATAATAAGAGTTTGGAGACACAGTGGGGAAAATTATTTAAAGACAGGTGGAATGGTCCGTATAGAGTGAAAGAGCAATATCCTGGAGGGTCGTATATATTAGAAGAATTGGACGGAACAGTTATGAATAGAAGATTTGCGGAGGAACATATCAAGCGTTTTTTCCTCGAGGTATTTCA